GAGAGCTGAAATTTCATGGGAATGTTCCCCGTCCAAGTAGGTACTAATGAGCTCAAATCCAGCCCCTGGGTAAGCGCGGTACCCGCGTACGAGCCCCCCAAAATTTTTCCCGCGCAAATTCATAACTTGGGGTTCTGAGAAGCTAGAGCGCTGGAATTTTAGGGAGGTGTTCCCTGTCTAAGTGGGTATTAACGAGTTCAAACCCTACCCGCGGGTAAGCGTGGTACCTAAGTACAGGCCCGTGAAAAGTTCCTTCCGGGTAAGTCAATTTTACTTGGGGCGTGAGAGAGCTAGAAGACTGGAATTTTGAGGGGATGTTTCCTGACAGTTCTGGCGGCCAGTCTCAAATTCTTTCAGCTAGAAGCATCTGCCGAAAAACTAGAAGACTGGAATTTTGAGGGGATGTTTCTTGACAGTTCTGGCGGCCAGTCTGAAATTCTTTCAGCTAGAGGCATCTACCGAAAAAACCGATGCCGGTAGTGACAAAAACCTGCGGGGAACTCTGCAAAAAACGCATCCTCGCACGGGCAGCCCGTGCGTTGGCCATTTATTTAGTTCTCGGACTGGTTCACAGCATAAAAATATTTTACCCATTAAAACGGTGACGTATGCAGATGTTAGAGGAACGTGTGTAGCGGTTTCTAAGGGAACTTATTTAGTTTATGGCGGTGATAAAGTTCTAAAATATAATGAATAAAACAGGCGAAAAATTATTAATTTTCCGAAAAGAACAGTCTAGCAAAGAAGAGTCTGTTTTTCTGAAAAAATTAAGCGCTGAGGTGCGACAGAGTCTTTTTCTTCATCGGCGAACCACTAAACTGCGAGATTGGGCAAAAAATCAGGATGTCCCGACCTCTCAAACATCTAGCACCCGTTACCGCGTACCACCCATCTAGAAAACGTGCGAGCGAGCGAGCAAGCGACCGCAGTGGAAGCCCTCTGATCTTACACCCCTCTACATAACTTTAGCAATGTCAAGCAGTTGCGGGAGTTGCTCGACTTGGACTATGTTCCTCGGAACCGGTTCACAAGCACACCATCAAGCGCTACCCCACGCACAGCCGAAGAGCAATCTGTTTTTGATGCATGGCTGCCAGGCGCTCCGAGCTGTTGTTTGCGAAGGGTTATCAGCAGCCGAGCAGTGCACCATTCCAGCCAGCGGCAGCAGCCGATTTTCAGCCAGTGCTCACAGATGTCGGAGTTCATCGCATTTTTGTTCATTTTTAGTGAAATGCACAACTTGCATTAGGACCCGTTAAGGAATGACTGGTACCTCAGGGATTTTCGCGAAATTCTCGGAGTGAGCTGGGTGCTGCACTGCATTAAACTTGATTCCGAGCAGCAATACGCGGACTCACCCGTTCTGTGCAGAGCAGATGTTTGCTGTTGACAACGTGCTACTCCTTCCAGTGATTCCAGCTTTCTCAGAAAAAACGAAGTGCAAATGGGGTTTTGATTTCTGAACGATAGGAGGAACTTTTTTAACGATTTCCTCGCTTTTTTCGAGGAACTTACCGATAAATAATTTTTTGAGTATTTTACTGAATTGTTGCATTTCACTTTGATACTTTCGCCCAGCTTCTTATCGTGGCGCCTAATACGTCTGGCAACCTTTACGTGACTACTCCCACCGACACTTCTCGATGGCCAGCCTACTGGTGATAACCTGCAATGAGAAATCTCAGAATAACCAATCATGCTACGTAAAACAGTATAACTGCAATAGATGTAAATAAAAACACTCCAGTACATGTGAAAAATCGAAATCTTCCGTGAAAGACGG